GGAACACGGTGCCAGCAGTGGGAACTGTTTGTCTTTGGATGCAGGTTCCAGGAAATGCCCACCCCGTGCTGCCTACTATAAACACGTGGAGGGCTGTTGGAAGTTTGTCTGAAGGGAGTGCCCAGTGAGGATGGCAGGATGGACAGGCATATATTTCACAGGAATTCAATACTGTCGCTCTGTATCATGAGTGTCTGTGGCCATTTAATGTCACCAGGGCCTTGCTGAGGCATGCCACCCTGAGGACTGAGCAGCTTATTTGGGATATGCACCTTGCCTTTGCAGCTGGCTTTGTGCAGCTCAGTGGCCTCTAAATAAAGGCTGTAGATTTATACTTGAATGGTTTAGGAAACACACCTTTGTTGCTGTCAAAAAACTGTGCAACTGCTGCTTGAACAGCTATCTGCTGTCTTACTGGCTGCAGGCCATTTATCTGTGCTGTGCTGGACCTGACAGAGCCCTGGAGAGCCCCTGTGGAAAGGCTGCAGTGGATCAGGTCACTGCACAAACCTACCCGCAGTCTGTCAATCTGAGTGGCACAGGTTTGAGCCACACAGCTGTGGATGTTTTGCTGGTACATGAATGGGAGCAATCTTGTGAGCCAAATGCTGAAGGGTTGCAGGCAATCTTGGATTTACATGTTCATACACATGGATGTGTGTCTGTGAATGTCTGTGGCTCTGTCTGAGTAAATTTTTAAGAACCTCCAAGGGCTGCCTTTCTGGGCAACCTATTCTGGTTGTTCACCACTGCCCCAATAAAAAATTTGTTTTCCAGTGTCCATCCTGAACCACTGGATTCACAGCCATTGCCTTTTGTTGTATTATTTAGCTCTACAGAGAAGTATTTTGTTCTCATTGCAACCTCTTGTCAAGTAGTTGTAGGAATTTCTTGGAGTTGTTGCAGTTTCCTTGGAATGAAGATTATCCAGGGTGAACAATGGACTTTCTTGTTCCTTTTTTTTTTTCCTGCATCTTAGTATTCCATTTCTTGGTGTGTTTCTTGGATTTCCATCTGGGATTTTATATATGCAGCAAGGCGTATTGACTATTATTTAATAGACTCATTTAACACAATTATGAAATTGATTAGGGTCAAAGATATACCTTTGTATAGCTACCCTTTCTTTGAGAAGTGGCGAACCTGTCTTTTCATAGCCAAACACTTGAGCAAACTGGAGTCTCCAAGGACTAGAGTCAGTGAGTGGTCTTCCTGTGATGGTCTTTGTTGGAAAATTCTTAATACTCCCTTTTTGCTGCTTTGTCCCTCCACGTTGTGGGGCTCCAGGGTTCATTCTGCCACGGGCTCCTAAACCCCTGCCTCTACTGCCCATCATGGCTTACATGGATTCAAAACCAGTTTAAGGCAGTTCCTGCTGGTAGCCTTTGGGTGGGTTGTCAGCAGGTGGCTTTGTCCTTTATGTGAATGTGAGGAGGCCCCAGACAGCTGCTGGACAAGGCCCCTGCCCTGGAATGCTGGCCAGCCTGGGCTTATCAAGCACTAGAAGAGCTGTAAAGCAGAGACTCAGACTCAGACACATCACCCTGATGTGAACTTGCTTATGGAGAAACATAACATCTGAAACCCCTTCATCTTCTGGCACAAAGGACAATGTGATATATCAGACTGGACACCCATGCACCTCTCCATATGTGGGGCTACACCCAAAACAGAGAGCTGCAGGTTTGATTTGGATTTTGGATGGCATTTTTTAGATCCCTGCCTTCCCAGATGAAATCAGTATCAGTGATGAGTGGGATATTTCTGTGCATCCACCTGAGGTGAGGAAACTGCCCTTTTCTGTCAGCTCTGGTGTCCAGGCCTGATACCACACTGGGGTTGGGAGCTGGAGCAGAGCATAATTACCCAACTTCAGCCATGTTTCATGCACAGAGACTGTTACCCCATTGCTCCGACACCAGGCTGCTTTTCTTTTTCTATTCTTTCTGTTATTTTTTTAGGTGGAATTTAAGGCGTGAACTGCAAAACACAAAGCAGCTCTAGCTGTGATTACCTCTGTGAGTGCCTTTCCCTCCTCCTGTGGTCACAGACAGCCGAGGAAAAGCAAAAGCTGTCAGGTCCCTGCAGAAAAAGAGAGAAATTAGTGCTGGCAGAGTCTGTAAGAGACAACTTATCTGCTGTGAAGTTTGAGTCCCTTGTTCCTGCTGGTGTGATCTGTTAACGTAACATGCCTGAAATGTTTTCTTACATTCTCACAGTCTTTTCTAAGACATGCAAGATGAGAAACATGGGGATATTTACTCCAGTACTAGAGGAATTGTGATGGGCTGGTGTTCTTTTTGTGCATTTACAATCTATGCCATTGATTATAATACACAAATTAGTCACATAAAAATGTCTGCATTTATGTGAAGATCTGTGTAAAGCTTCTGCTTTAAAATCTGTGATGGATTCATAGGTGTTGTGTAATTAGATGAAAGAAAAAGTCTTTTTAAGAAAAAAAGGTGACATTAGAGGAGGTTTTGCAGCAAATGTGTTTAGTACATTTACTGCTATCAGTATCAGCTGGTAGTACTGAAAAAGCATTAAAGCAGTTTTGTTAATATTCAGCTCTTTTAATTCTTCTCACTAGTAATTTAAAAATACTCTTCTTAGATTCAGTCCCATGTTTTTCATGGCACTTCTGTAAAGTCCTGCTCTACTGGGTTGGCAGGTAACATAAAAGAGTTTGTGCTTTAAAAAGGCACACGGCCATGCCCCTGAACCTTGGTGATATTTCTGTGAACTCCCCAGTTCATGGCAAGGAAGTGCACTAAAGCCTTACTTTCTTCTCCCTGTGGTAAGCACAAGAGGCAGATAAGTTTAGTATGTAGTTTGGTTTTATTAATGTTTTCCAGAATTAATACTAAGTAAATCTCAGATCAACAGTTCTGCATATTCCTTGTCAGACTTCTAATTGCTCCAAGTATATTGCTTATTCCATTTCTAGGTGTTTACCTCTCTATTTACTATCTGGTACCATTCTTCTTCTTTTCCTTCCCTTCATCTTCAGTCCCCACTTTCTTGTCATCAGTCTAAGTTCAGTTGCATCCAGGTTGGGCTGAGTGACGCAGACTCATGTGTGTATGTTCAGAGGCCATTTAGAAAACAAAATGATTATCTGAACTTACTTCTTGACAAGTTTTTGTATTTAAAATACAAGTTGTTGTATTTAAAATGCAACTACCCCAGGTAGTTGTTAGAGATTACAGGGACAAAAATAAAAATTTGCCTTATTAAGTTTTTCTGTATAAATACCAGGATTCCCTATTTTGGGTATTTCACTATTTTAAAGATTGATATTCCAGTTTAAGGTAGCAGCCTCAGGGGATCCGATGGGCAATTTTTGTGAATACTTCAGCCAATCTTTGTTGGTGTTGTTTAAATAAAAACATTTAGATGCTTAAGTTTGGAGCCTTGTATTTAAAAACAAATGCCACACCTAAATAAAAAGTCTGTCATCAGTTTTCTCTTGTGAATCATATTTTTACTAAAAGTCCTTTTTCCCTAAGTGGCTTGAAGAAAAAATTTTAAATTTTATGGAAATGCTCTGTGGTTTCTTAGTTAGTACACTGCTGATCTATAGGCAGATAGAACTAAATGTGTATGTAGTCATTACTGTTCTGTATTAGTTCTGTTTTGCTTTGGGTTTTTTCACTATTAATTCTCAGGTTGTTTTCACATTGCACTAATCATTCCAATTACAAATGTTTAATTTGTCATTTGCTGCATATGAAATTCCCTTCAGCTGCATTTCAAACACTGGTGCTAGCCTGTGGTTCTGAACTCATTGTTCAAAAGAAGGTTCATTCTCGACCAGAAGTGTTGAATTCCCTACAGTGTTTGTTTCCTTCATGCAGCATCGAGCAAATTTGAAAAAGATGATTATTCACCTCACACTTGGGATCTGCTTCAGTTCCTCTTATGGCTGTGAGGGAGATGTTAGCCAGGTCATGGCTTTGCTCAGCCTGTAACAGGCTGGCAGAAAGGAGGATGGTAGTTATTCATGGAAGCACTTCCACATCCATTTCTATCTCATTGCAGAACCGTGTGGATTCCTGTTCCAGGGCTGTGAATTAAAACCAGGAGATGTTTTCTTTAGGATGTACCTCCAGAAACACACTCCCATACAGTTCTTTGGTTGGCCACTGCCTTGTTTTGGATAGGTCAAGCAACTCTTTCATGGACTGTTGTATTGCCAGCTGCTTTCTAGTTTGGAAAACATTTGTAGAAATAGTATTTTGTTCATCCTTTTTTTACTGATAGATACGGCAGCAGTACAGGAGAGATTGTTGAGAGCAGCAGTAGTAATACTTGAAAGGGTGTAGGAGAGAAAGCAGGACCTTGTTGTTGAGGAATATGGCTGGAAGTGTTTCTTCCTGTGTGTTTATAATAAACACAGTGCAGTGTGAGGAAGAATGCCTCCTCCTGGGGGGACTGTGGGTCAGTAGAAGGGAGGAGAAGGGGCATCAGGACCTCCTTGTTAAAATACATCGATAAACCATGGCTGGAAACAGCTCTGAGCTGTGAAGAGCTGCATGGATGCCCTTGGCTTGCATAGCTGGAGTGTGTCCTATTGCAGCAGGCAGGGATAGGAATGGGGAGAAGGGGATCAGGGTCTGCAACTGCCCACAGCTCTATCTGTGCCTGCATTGGGGAAAATCCCAGGTTTTTTTCCTTGCCCAGGCACAGGTTGATTGTGCAGCCTTGCCTGGATGTCTCAGATCTCTGAGCACACTCCCCTTTGGTTAAGATGAGACTGACCAGGCTGAGCAAAATGCTCTGAAATACAGGTATGAGCCTCCTGTCTGAGTGTGCCAAGCAGCATTACTGCATTTCAAGTGACCTTTCAGTCTGAAACTTTGCCAAAGGGAGGGGAAAGGAAGCCACGGTTGACTCGAGTTCTGCACAGAGATCCTGCAAACAGATGGTGTTTGCATATAGGAGACTCTGCTCGGGTGCAGCTCCACTACAACGCTCTTCGTTTTTAATGATTGCAGGCGGGCTAAACTCCGGCTATATTTGGAACAGCTAAAACAGCTTGTGCCTCTCGGGCCGGACAGCACCAGACACACCACTCTAAGTCTGTTGAAAAGAGCTAAGATGCATATCAAGGTAAAAACATTCATCCATGTTTTTATTTCTTTTAAGGGAGAATCTTCCAGAATGTGTATCCATAGAGAGGAAACAAATTTTCACACAAAATCCATATCCATATGTCCAATCTTCTGGATTTATTGGCCTTTATTACTTGCAGGGATTTCAGTCACAGTGTCAAAGTTTAGTGTTTTGCAATTTAGCATCTCAGAGATATAAAACAGTGGTTTTGTTACTAGTTAGTAACTAGTGTATTTAGTGATTTACACTATAATTTAAAAAAATAATCTATCAAAGCTGTTCTTTGATTAATATATTTATTTTTTAAGAACTGAGCAAACTAGCATTGTACTGCATTTACTAAAATGTAAAAAGCCAGGTCCATTAATGATGAAAAAAAACTAATAGAATCAAAAATACCATATCTATTAGTGAACCCTACCCCATCGACATTTTGTTGACCAGATTCTCATTTGAATGAAACAAAAAATTAAATGCAATCTCCTTTTAGTTGCTGCTCCCCTTGCTACAAGTTTAAAACAACAAAAAAAAAACCAGCCTCAAATCTGATCTATGATCCAGCAGCAGTGCAGGTTCTACAATTGCACAGGGAATTTAAAGGAAATTATTACTCAGGCCTTCTCTCTCCAAAGACACCTTCACTCCCATTTTCACTGTCATTATTTTCAGGGAACAGGGCTATATGCAGAAATAAGACAAAGAGGTATTCAAATGTAAAAATTAAAGAACAGGTTTCTGCTGCTGTGACCAGGACTGTAATTACTCATCTGGCATTTTTTCAGTGTTACAGAGAAACAGGTCAAGAAGAGTGTCAGGCAAAATTGAGCACTGCCAGTAATCTTGGAATATTTTGGAGAACAGCCTGCTGATGCACAGCTTTAAGATTCACTGCTGTTAAAGAAGTGGGTGTGATTCATATGAAGAAATAAAGATTAATTTAAGCAAAACCATTCTTGTGAACAAGTTTACAGAGCTACTTTTTCAGCACTTCTAAGCACATTTGCTCCAGCTGGGCAACCCCTGTTTTTACCATTTGAGATTTTGGCCTCTTGTTTATGATTCAGGCTAACATGCATGAAAGGCACTGCATGTGGTTTTTGTCTTGGGCTGCCCCCCTATGATGGGCTTATGCATACAAATTGAAAAATTGTTTTTACAAGTGGCGAGTGTGCGAGATTAGCCCTGTAGTTACCATTTCAGCTGCCGATAAAAAAAGCTGGGAACAGATTCTTTCCAGATCTGTCTTGCACAGCACCAAGTACTCATCTTCTGAAAACCAAGACTGAATTTTAACTTTCTTTTTTAGGATTTTAACTGAACCTGCCCTAACTGGGTTAGCATTTAATTGCTCCCCTTTGTCAGGTCAGCTCCCTCCCCTGCCCTGCCAGAGCTTGCCCGTGCCCAGCTGGCATTTTGAACACAATCATTAGTTCTCAACTTTTCACACACTCACGCCCCCCATATATCGAGATCTGCACTGAAAGACTGGACGGTTTTGAGTCTCCTGGATATGAATCACTAAGTTCTTTTCTAAAATAGTTGTTAGAGTTCGGGATTGCAGCCAGGAAAATACAGGAAAAGGAAGTCTGATCAATTGGGCACATTTGGTTTGTTGTGTACATGGATGTACCAACCCCTTTCCCTATTATAACATTGTGTATCCACCTATGATGATTATCTACAGAGCATATTGCCTGGGAGGAGGCTTAAAATGTGGCGGAAGAAGGTAGATTTCATTGAGCCAGGAAACTGCCCCATTCACAGCTGTCAATTATTTTTTCAAATGCTTTTATTTCAGGCTTGCATGGGAACAGCAAAGTCTCTGAAAGGGTTTTGCTTGTGTTTTGCTGTGCACTGTCCCAGCCTGCTCTCCTCAGAAAACCAAGTCTAGCTTCATTCAGGCAGCAGGGAGGAAACTTCAGCAGCTGTATTCACTCCCTGCACATCTCCTAAATCTCAGTGATCATGTAAACACAGCTCACAGAGAAATCTGCTCACTCTTACGAGTGCTTTTACTCCTACAACCTGTAATTTACTGCATCAGATAGATAATTTTTTTTTAATAATAAAAGGTGTTTTGATTTGTGTATCCTTCATGTTTTTAATCCCATCATATTCTTACAAAATTTTCCCTAATTATGCAGTCACTTTTTTTTAAATGGCTAGCAGCGATTTGGAGAAGGGCTCAGTTCAAATACAAGAAGGTACTTTATTCCTGTTACTGCATTTGGACCAACAGTGCAGCACATTTCACTGAGTGTAAAATATTCTTTTTATTTGCAAAATTAATACCTGCTTTTATTCTGTCAGAGGAGAGATTTTAGGTTGATATGTGAAGGATCCTTTCACAGGCTGTTTGCTGAGAAATTCTGAATTAATACCACCGACTTTGTAGGTGATATCACAGAATTATCATACTTGTTCTGCAGAAGTTCAAGGACAAAAAAAGCAAGAATAAAGAGAGTTGTTAGTAAATTCCTCCTTCTATATATAATTAATGCTGCTTATTGGGAATGAAGCTTTTTAAATGCTAAAATTTTCCATGGCCTGCGGTAGGAGTGAGAACATTCAGAGGCTCACGATGGTTCCTTTATGGTGATAGGTGTGGTAAGAGACTCATCTAAAGATGCATTATGTTCTCACTGAAACCTGAGCTGTGCTCAAGTTATCAAAGATGATGCTGGTTTCACCTGATAAAATGATTTAAATATTCTCCACAACCAAGGCAATAATAATTTGATCTTAGCCAAGGAACGTCTGCTAGTGGCAAGAGAGTCTCTGAGGGATTTTTTTTTTTCAATTATTTTTTTTTCCCCTGTAACCACATATCTTACTGTGAAACAAATTCAGCCTGCTAAAATTGTACTGACCTCTACAGAATGCTAACTAAAAAATTGAAATTTTAAATTTAATTTTATCTTGATATTAATTAATTAAAATACTTAAATTATTTTCAAATTACTGTTTATGAGAAGACCTTAAGTTACTTATGCTTTGACACGGGTACAAACTTTCAGTTTACTGTGTTTCTCTCCTTTTAAGAAATTGGAAGAACAGGACCGAAAAGCTCTAAATATTAAAGAACAATTACAGCGGGAGCACCGCTACCTCAAGCGCAGATTGGAGCAGCTCTCCGTGCAGGGCATGGAGCGAATCCGCACTGACAGCATGGGATCAACAATATCCACTGACTCGGAACAAGGTAACTGAGCCACGGCTTCCAAAGCACCTGCACGAGCAGGGAGAAAAAGGGAAGTAGGGAAACAAGGAAATGTCATTTAGAACTTACATCAAGCTTTCAATAAAACCCAAACAAAATTATAGCATAATGAGATTTGAAGAGTAAAAAATTAAGGCATCTTTTTCACATTCTTTGAAAAATGGTCTTTTTCCTAATCACTTTTGAGGCTCTTAATACTGTTTGTGTTTTTAAAGCTTTTTATCCTGCATGTGTTTTTTGCCAGTTTTTTTAACAATTGCCATTTAATGTTTTGAATTTTTAGTGTAATTATTGGTAAGGCTGGTGTAATATTTTCTTGTGGAAAAAAAGATATCTTATTTAGCTTAATTAATTTGTGGGAATAAATTATTTCCACATAATTTATTGTGAAATTTTAAAACATTTTCTGTGCAACAATCACCAAGGGTTCTCTGCATTTGCTTCTCATTTAAGACAGCTTGTCAGGCTGGCTGTTGCCATTTTTTATTTTCCCATTTGGAAGTTTTTCTGGGCAGAAGAGTTGCCCAGGCTGGCTGTTTCAGAGCCCAGGGGGGTTGAGTTGTCTTGGGGCAGTTACCTGGGGACAGGTGGTCACACCATGGGCTGCCGACACCTGCATGGTTGGAATTACCATGGACAGTGCTGCAGTATGACCGCCTCTGAGGGCCAGCTTTTTTCTAAATCAGTGTCTGTGTGCAGGTTGGAACAGTTCTGGGAAAGCATCTGGTATTGATGTCATGCAGTATATTTATGTGGCTGAGGACAGAAGGGATTTTAATTCTCAGGTGGGCAAGATGATCCTTTCCTCAGGAATTACTGTGCCAGTTCTTAATTTTTTTAAATTATTGCAACTGAAGTGTGATTCAGGTGTTGATTGACACTGGCCCATGACTAGTTGCTACAATTTTCTGAAAATGTGCCTTCTTATGTTTCCTTTAGAAGTAGACATTGAAGGAATGGAGTTTACTCCAGGTGAAATGGACAGTATTGGAAGTGCCAGTGATGCTGAAGACCACTACAGTTTGCAGAGCGGTTCGAGTGACGGAGGTTACACACATTCCCGCAGACTGAATGCCAGGCTCTCATAGTGCCTGAGTTACCTGCCCAACTCAGGACCATCTGACTGAAGCACTTATATATGAATATTCCAGAGGTGTCAACTGCCACTCTTCCGGGAAACCCCAACCACAACACTCTGACATGGAGGTTTCTTACCCACGGTTCCCTGCACTGTAACCACAATATTAGATATTGTAAATCATGGGTTTGCTGCAGAGAACTGTGGTTAGGTACAGTTGTGACTTAAAGCTAGCTTGATGTAGCCATCCTGCAAATTAAAGGAAATCGATTATGTCGTTCCATTCAAGAAGTATTAAATTCAAACTGTTGGAAGCATGGCGTAAGGGAGTTTGACAGTTTATTTTTGATTTTGCAGAAACCATTTTCAAACATGGAAGAATAAATGAAATCTACAATGTGTTAGTGATTCAGAGATACAAAAACCTAAAACTACTTTTTGTGGTATTTTTTCATGATAAAAACCCCCCAAACCCAAAACATTTGGAATGCTGGATAGTGGGCTCCATAGAATAAATTCTTTCAGCAGTTGTTGTTTGGGTGAAGCAGCCAGATAAATCTTCAAATCTCAAATGATCTTTAGAAAAGGTCATATTTACAAGTCACTACTGTACTTCAAAACGGGGGAAAAGCCAGCTCTAATAATGACTTCATGTGGGATGATCTCAACTTTCTTTTGCTTTTTGTATTCAATATCCAACCAGCAGCAAATCATTCTATCCATGTTAACGGGAGCAGTAGAAAGCAACATGGCAGTTTTAACCTGTTACTGTGGAATGGATGACATTTGAAGCATTTCAGTGGTTTTATGGGTTGTTGTTTTAATTTCTTTCTCTGAAGAATACAAAACTCAAGTGATCCAGTTTGTGATAGTTAATCCTTCCTTGCAAGGAAATCTCTGTTGCTTGCATTTTTTTTTCTTTTCTTCTATTTACACATGTCAATACATTTTTATGGAAGGCATGGCTTAAAATTACAGTATTCAGCTAGAAGATAATTAATTTTTTTTCTTTTGCACACTATAATTGCATTTTCTATTCTTAAAAAAGTGCAAAAAATTTAAAGTGTATGCTGTAAAACAGCAAAGTTTATTTAGTACTCATCAAGCTGTTCAGAACATATTTACCCAAATTGTAGCAATACTATGAAGATGTATTTTAATACAACTTCTGCTTAGTGAAGTCATTAGAGCTTGGCTTGCCGGGTAAGAAAAAAATGGACCAGTCTTTGCATTATCTGTTTAAAGAAGGTCTTTTAAAAAAATTAAAAAAAAAGAAGAAAAAAAAAGAAGAAAAAAAAAGAAAAAATTAAAAAAAAAAAAGAAAAAAGCTATAAACACTTTTAGGGAAGTGATTTTAGCAAGTGTAGTCTATATTTCCTGTAAGAGATTTTGTATTATATTTTCCTAAATGTTCTCATTTACTTGTATAAGGAGGGGAATGGTACAGACCCAGACCAGAGTCTCAGGGACTCTTCACCTTTGTCATATTGTGCCTTGGTGACCATTTATGTATGCCTCTCCTTCTCATTGTTTAAAGGACAACTAAGCTTTGTTTCAAGACCCTCTGTTCAAATGGTCAGTTGTCCACCTTCTTACGGATGAAGCAGAGAGGTGTATTTATATCTTCACCCTCTCACAACTGATTCAGTGTGGCTTTAAGTAAAATCATGAAATTAGGTTTTGGTGCGAGGGTTAATTGTCTTTGTATGAGCCCTCCCTTGGATTCTTCAGCACCCAAATCTATTTTTTGTTAGCTTATAAAGTCAGGGTCTCTGTGAGACCAGCGCTCAGTGGCTTGGGAAACACAAACGTACTGTGTAAGGCTATGGGATGTCCAAGTGTGGTGCCATTTTTAGCATTCAGATACAAGACCTCATGACAGACTGACCATAATGATCAAAAGCAAAGGTTCAGTTGTTCTTTCAACATCTGACATACGTGTCCTCCCTTTGCCTCTTACAACACGGAGTAGAAATACGAATACATTTTGTGGCAGCTTACAGATCCTTGTTTGCACTCTCGCTTACTGCTTGGAACTTGCCAACAAGGAAACGTATACATTTAATTTACATAACCTAATGGATGGCCACCCCTACTTTGGCTCTGGGGAGGGGCCTAAGGTTATCAACTCTGGCAGCTGAATAAGAAAACAATTAACCTTTTCTGTGATGCAGGTTTTGGTATTACATTCTATACACCTTGCATATTACTAAAATCCTCATTGTTGGGGAAAGCACACAGCAATATACTCATTGTGTGTAGCTGACAAGCAGCAGAAATTACTAGCTCCTTTGGTGCATATGTAACTAATTTCCAAATCATGGAAAAAAAAAAATAAGAGTTTACTTTAACACACGACTGTTAACAGGAAAAAAAAAAAGAGGCTAGTATATTGTTGCTGTTCATTTATTATATAATGAACACATTCATGGATTGTAAAGTGTTTCCTTTCATGACAAGCAGCTCTTGCACAGAACCTCCTAATGAAAAGAGATTTGAAACTTACAGAAGGAAAAATGAGACTTTAAATTGAACATTATTGTACCTTAGGTCAACCTGAAATTTTCCTTTTAAAGATGAATGTGCTAACTTAATGAGTTCTTCCACGCTGGGTATCCATGGCTTTGTAGATCTTATATTTTCAATAAAAATTACTCGAATAATCTTGAGTGGAAATAAAAGGGGTTTATTTGTTTTTACTTTTTCAGTTGTTACAGCTGGGAGCTATTAACGCTGGTAAAGAAAAATGACACCATACTGCCTGTGTCATTCTCCCTCGAGCACAGCCCAATTTAAGGTGGAATTTTCAGGCACAGCCCCCGGACAGCAGCAGCCCCGTTAGAGGCAGTGCACAGCAGTTGTAGGGTCAGGTCTGGGGCTGGCCTGTCCCCCCAGCAGAGCTGCAGTCAGTGGGGACAGTCGGGGCTCTGACCTTTCAGGTCCTGCTGCTGAGCAGCCAGTGCAGCACTGCCTGTGGCCACAGCACCTTGGGATGCAGACAGTGTTATTTTTATGATCTTTTCTCAGCTGGGCACTCGTGTGTGTGCCCCGTGCGTGTGCACAAGTGTACCTGTGCCCACAGTGGGACTGCAAAAAGCAAACTGCTGCAAGATGAAGTCCTGCCACCGCCTTGGCAGCTCTGCTGTGTTGTCATGGCCGCGCTTTTAGCAGGCGAAGGGGTGCTGCTGCTCAGCTCATCCATTTCCTCTGCAGTTACCACATCGGAAAAGGAGCAGGGACAAGATTACAGGGCTGCTAGGTCTATTTCTCTGTGGAAGGGGCTCTGGAGAGATGAAGTCATCGCAGAGTTCTTTTTCTGAAGACACAGAGGTTTGGCCCGTTTCCTGGGGGAGAAGAAAGGAAGGGCTTTCCCTTGCAGCACGCAGGTGTCAGAGGATACACGCCTCTGCACTGCTCCTGGATTAGTGCTTCTCCAGCTCCGTGCCTGCACTCTGGCATCACCCAAGGGAGGCACAAAGAACCAGCCTAAAATTGTTAGTTCTTTCTGCATATTCTCCACTGCAATTTAGAGGATGAATCCTCCTTCGCATCCATCCTCTCTCTGCCCAGCTTGTACCCTGCCAGGCCCATTGCAGCTGATTTATTTATCTTCTGAAAAGAGCAGGTTTGGCACTAGAAGCTCTGTAACACATTACTAACCAGAGACTGGGTCCTGTAATGTCTCCTGCAAAGGACAAATTCGGTCCAGAGTGAGTTTTAGCAGGTTAAAACAGAAATAAAGAAGCATCCAAAAAATCCATGAGGACAGTTTTCCATGTGGTATTTATAGAGTTTCAATCCAATCTTATTAGTGTAAGATTTGGAGTTGAAAAAACCTACTTAAAGTCTAACACATCTAACTTGTTCTAACTTAAGAGAATTAAGACTGACTTCAATGGTGTTACATTTTTGACATGGATGAGTATGGGTTCAACTATACCACATGCATATAATTATAGAAGTAGAAAAAAAGTTACTTGATCTACAAATAAATTACAGTGATAAATAACAATATTCTGAGCATCTGACTGTACACTTTGCATAACCCATTTCAGTGGATGAACTTAAAATGCCAAAAGGAGAACTGGGCAACAGAAAGAAGTGAAGTTACAAGTGTGAGCTCTGCCTGCAGACCTGCTCTGGGCCAGTACTTCTGCTTTTCCTGGAGGTACTTACAGCAGTCTCTGCTCCTGGACAAGTGATTATTTCACCATTTTACTAACTTTTTGGCAGACTGGTAATTAGTGGTGAAATTTTTCATCCTTGCAGATCAGCCATGTGGAAAGAAACACATTTTTTGAAAGAACTACATCATCACAGCTTTTAATTAAGTAGTACTACTTTTATACATTTCATTTTATGATGCTGCTGATAAAGGAATGTCTTTAAAACAAATTACTCTTTCATAAATCTGTTAAATTTGTTTTTAAATGGTAGAGGTCATTGGTTGCGTGTGGTATGAGCCAGTAACAGTGTTGATACTTAATCCATTAATATACACTTTCCAAAATTGATGGAAGAATAATTGAGACCCTTTAAGGAAGAGCTGTACTCCTTACAAATACTAATGGGGCAAACACATCAGAAATTAATTTTCCCAGCAATGAAATGAGCCAATTTGCTTAAGTGACTGTCTAAATGCACTGTTAATTGGCAGCTGTAAAGAAAATATCCAAGCGTGTTCCATAGCCACCCAGAATTAAAATGCAGGGGATAGATGAAACAGAAAAGACCATTTGGTCACCTTGGCTGTTCTCTCTGCCTGAAGTATTGTAAATAAGCCCAGGAAAGGATTCCTGGAGGCATGTCCAGCCAGAGGCTTCTCTGTTGGCAAAGCAGAGTGAAGGTGCCCCAGGTTCAGAATTCCTTTCTTTCATTTTGCACGAGAGGCATAAACTGTGGTTACACAGGATTTATGGCATTGGAAGGGTCTGTGCAGGATGGATGTTTAAGATGAAATCTTGGTGCAGGTGAAGCACTGACTGAGAGCCTTCTGCTGCTTACTGGTAAAATTGTTACCTAAAGGTGTTAAAGTGGGTTCTGTGCCAGAGCCTCTGGGTCCCAGAGCCAAAGGAATGGTTCATAGTCTGTGAGATGCATTTTACTGTATTATACAGATTCATTTGTACACACGTACATGGCGCTTGCTACGTTCTGTAGCACACGGAGTATTGTGTTGTATCATTATCTCGTCATAATATAAATACAAATTTTTATACCTTTTTGTTGTGTTACTCAGGTTTTTTTTTTTAAACTTTCATCACTTGTTTTTTGTGCATAGTGTTTCTTCTCTTCACAGTTCTTTGCATATTGCAAATCTTTACATGTCAGCTTATTTCATGTCAGCTATTTCATAAGGAGCTCCTTGGGTTTTAGCAATTCAAGTTAATAGCATGGTATGAAGATTGGGGTGCTACTTAGAGTTCTTTTGCACACAATGGCCCGTTGAAACCCCAACAGTCATTAATTTTATTTGTCTCTAACCATGGGTGCTGTATAAATTTCCACTTTACATTTCTGAAGACTAACTAACCTGTTTGCAAAGTGCAAACTGTAACGCATTAGTGTCTGTTCTAAGTAATTATACTTGAAATAATTTCAGCTTGGTATAAGACAGGGAAAAAAGCATTAAAAGGCAGCCTACAAGATCTGCGTGTTTATTTTGTCAAATGTGAAAGTCACATCACAAGTGATGTGCAGCCAGACAAAAACAAGCATTTTAGCTGATGAGAGATGAGAGGAAGGACGGAGCTGAAATCCTTTTGTAAATTACATTGTTTTCTCTCAGCTGTATCGTGTGACATCCCCTGGTTTGTTTCAGTTTGTCACGCATGCTGGTCCTAAATACAGTAATACCTTAAAAATACAGAAAAAGTAGTTTTATGTTGAAATCATGGCCAGTAGCTAGTTGATGCATTTATATTTGATTTGAATAAGCTGAGCTTCTGAATCAGTAAGATACTCATGTGCAAAGCATAGTAAACTAATTTTTCTATCACATTTTTTTTGAAATTAATATTATCACAAAATAAAAATAAAATACAATCTAGGACTTAATAACTTTTTATAAATTAATCTACAACAGAAAAAAATAGCTGTAAATCTAGCAGTGCTGTACTTTGTGACAGCACCAGTTTTCTCAGGACAAGAACTGCACTGGTTAAAAAAATTATTATAAATGTGCTGGCACTATTTTTGTAAATCCTGTACAGTTAATGATCTGTACAGCTCTATTTATGACATTTGTTATACCCTATCATTTGTTTAAAAGAAAAATAAGTTTCCTCATTTCACTAATGATGGATGTTTCAAGTTTAATACTAAACATCCAGAAGCTTGCCCTGCCTATCAGGATGAAAATTGGGGTTTTCATTAAAACATGGTCAGGAGAGTAAATGGACAATTTTCTAGGAAAAAGAACATATCCCTTTGTGCATTATATGTTTAAATACATTAGGAGTGGTAGCCTGAAGGTAGGAGTATTTACAGTACTGAATCCAACAAAGCTGAAGGAAACTAATCATTCTGACCTGTTTTTCTGGGAATACAAGGTCTCAGAGTGAAATCTACCATTCCCCTGGAGAGAAGATCCATGCACTTGGCAAAGAAAGCAAGTTGGTGCCAAATTCTTATCTTCTGACTTTGTTATAATAAAAGTTCATATGGCACTTTTAGAAGTTAAAAGTTGTGCTTAATCCAGAATACAATTTTGCTTAAAGCAATGAATTACATTTTAGGACAGGGTGTTTCCAAAGAATAATTGTTGCTCCAACAATCTGCAGCAGGCACCTTTGCAATCCTGCTGCTGTGAGCAGATGTGCAGTATGATTCAAAATCAAAAAGCTTTGGTACAGTTACAGTCCACCAGCTAAAAGCCTATTTCCTTGACTCCTCTGTGTTGATTTTTTTTCCCCCAAAACCAAACCATAACCTAAACAAAACCCTAAAGCAGTAACAAGCAAATGACGTTGAGTTTTTCATCTGACAGATGTATCCCAGTGGGAGGATTCAGACGGGGCAGCTGCAATCCTGTGTGGTGGCACTGCACTCTTGGCTGTTTGTTACAGCCTCAGCCGATGGATGGGCAGCCGAGAGCTCCTCTCCGAGGTGTCAGGAACAATGATGTCATATTTTGCAGTGGAACAAACAGAACACGGTATGGATGGAATACTGCAGAGCTTGCAGACATCCTTCCAGAAATGTTTATGCCTTAATCTGCTGGAATTCACCATAAAATGGCTTGTAAAGGCAATATGCTATCTAAGCAGCCTCTCCAGTTCTAGGAAACAGATGCAAAACAACTGCTCCTAGAATGGAAAAAAAGGGTAAGGTAAGCCTTAATTATGTTTTGACTGAACACAACCAAAAAAAAAAAAAAAAAAAAAAAGAGCTGCAAAAGCAAAAGCTAAAGCACACGGGTCTGAGGTTGGGTGGGGAAAGGGGCTGTTAGAAATGTTGACTATATGTTTGTAGAAGGCTGTTGTTTAATCTCTGCCCTAAGAGCTGATGGATAGTCTAACAGATGAAAATTTGTTTCTCTTCAGAGGCTTGTTCTTTCGAAATGAGAATTTTAAGTGCACAGTGTTCTGACCTAAAATATTTCAATTCTAGCCTGAATTCCTATGCCAGCGGGGATTATGAGATCATGCTGTCTGTCAACTCCTCTTTCGTCCATCTGTTCTTCTCCTCCTTTTCTTGATAACTTCTGAACCTTCTGGCTAATTTTCACCAAATTTGACAAAGCAGAGATAGAATGGAACCTGCAATTAATAATCCATGATGAAAACTTTCATGGAAATTCCATGTCTGGGTAGAAGGAAAAATAAATTATTTCCTGCACTGAACATGGCCAAATGGAGCTCTTCCCTGTTTTCAAGAGGTGGCCACTGGCCAGCATGGACGTAGCTCCAAACCTGCTACAGAATGAGCATGTAGTGCTGCTTTCCCAGGTGAACAGATGGGGACAAAGGTTTTGGAAAGGCCATGAAGGAGGGGGGACATCATAGCTGTGTGAGTCTGGAAATAAGGAGGGGAAGCAGTCATACAGGGAACTGAAGGCATGAGTTGCAGCAATCCAGCCAGACAATCTGATAGACAAAAGACAGGCAAACTTTTATCAGATGTATTTATGGACTTCATTGGCAGGGCTGCCTTTGGACAGCAGAATTTTAGGAATTTTTCTAGGTGTTTAAAATTTGCTTTTACACAGGCATTTTTTGCATGAGTTACACTGATATTTATTAAAAAGCCCCAAAACCCCAAACCACAACACTGTAAAGCACAAGTCGGCAAAATACCACTGTTGGAGAAGTTCATTTTGGTGCAAGCAACTGACTGGTCTGAAACAGCAGCGCATTACGAAATAAGCTGGTGAATGCTTTTGTTCCTTCCCTGTTGGACAGACACAATGCACTCTATCTGCAAGATGATTTGAAAACTTCAGCCAGCCTAAATTGCAGCTGCAGATCAGACTGTAATCTGATGGGGAGGAATTCAACACTACAGCTCTTTTTGCCCATGAGAACTCAGTGCCAGGTCAGAGTTTAGTCTAAAAATGTCTTGCACAGACCACATTATACCAGAAACAAATGTTCTGCACTTTGCAAGTGATACAGGTGCTGATTTTGATCAAAAAAGCCTAATGTGAGCTTGCCTTAGCTGTGCTAAGCTACAAGGTTGCTCGTTTCCCTGTGTTGGTTCATTTCAACAATTGCATTAAGTGAGATTAGAGAAGCTGCACATTTAGGACAAGTAGTGGGAGGGCTCCACCACCTACATACAGGCTGGGTCAATGCTTCATCAGGGTGAAAAGTAGAGATAACATTTCTGGATACATTAAATTATTTCTTTTTAGAATAACTGGCCCTATGAACCACAACAAAAAGAAATGCCATTCTGAATTTAGTCTTCAGCAGTGCAGAGGATCTAATTCAAGAGTTATTAGTGGGTGAGCTGCTCAATAGTGGCAAACACAATATAATTAAACTTAACACTAAGATGAATGCAAGACAAATAAAGCAAACAGATACTCAATTTTAAGAAAATGACTTATGCAAAAATTGGGAAATATGCCAAAAAAACCCTAAATGAGCAGTTCCAAACCAAGAAGCCTGCAAACATCCATAAGGCTTAAAAATACAGGTCTAGAAGCCAAGGTAGAAAGTCTGCCATAAATAGAAAAACATGGCATAAACCTCCCCCTGCTTGTATGACTCAATGACAAATTTAAGGAGGCTGTTGCAAAGCACACGGGGAAGCCCAGGAAAATGTGGCATGCGAAATGTAAAGAGGAAGTGAAGTGGCTAAACTCGAGGAGTGGCTGATAAAGGATACTCAGAGGGTTAGAGACAAGTTTACATGATGCTTATTTGAGAAGCAGCCTTTGCAATGCAGAGGTCCCGCAATCTGTGGCAAGAGCTTTCTGGTAACTTCACAGGCAGCAGCAGCCAAAAAGCCAAGAAAAAAAGAGAGCATTGTAAGGAAGGCACTGGAAATGAGGATTCCATAGAAAACCTTGGTAGATCCATGTCCTGAGGACTCTGTGCAGTCTCGTCTCTGCAGCCTGAACAAGGCACAGCAATGCTGTAAAAGGCTCAGAGGAAGATGTTGGGAACAATGAGTGGAATGGAGCACCAGCTCTACAGACCAAATTTTGGGACTCTCCAAACTGGAGAGGACAAAGCTGGAGGAAAATAATCTGGGGTTTTTTTTTAATTGCCACGAATACCACAGGTAAGGTACACGCAGAGGTGGCAGTGACCAAATCCTGAAACGCTAGTACCAGGAATCATTTGATAGGTTCTAGAAAAAGCTACAAAACAATTAGGAAAGTGACTTTTCAAGCAGCACTTAATAACGTTCTAGGATGTTGCCTTGTGAGATTATGTGTCAGCATGTTCAAAAAGGCCATAAAGGATATAAAGCCCATGAATTGAAGGACTAGGCAGGGGTGAAAACCAGCAACACAGCAACATTGGGTACGGATGGCGAAGTGCCCGCCGCTAGTCATGTCTGGGCTTCGAGGAAGCTGAAGGGCACGGTGGTCAAAGCTGGGCGACATCAACTGCGCTCAGGTCTGCCCCATCCCCCCGTTCCCGTGTGCTGGTGAGGGGGAACGGCGAGCAAAGCCCGCGGAGAGCCGCAGTGCCGGCGCTGAGGGGCTGAGGGGGCTGAGGGGGCTGAGGGCCGGACCGGCCATGGCGGCCCGGGGCAGCGCCCTGAGGGGAAGCGCGGCCCGGCCCTGCGGCCCCGCCCCGTGACGTCACCGCCGAGCGGGCCGCGCGCGAGACGGAACGCCGCGCGCGTGCGCGGGAGGCCCCCCCCTGGGCGGAGCGGGCGCGCGCAAGCGCGGTGGGGGGAGCGGGGCGGGGACACCGCGCGCGCGGCGGGCGGTTCGAGCGGCGGGCGCTTCCCTGAACCTCCCCTCAGCCTTCCCCGAGCCTCCCCTCAGCCTTCCCCGAGCCTCCGCCGGACCTCCCCTCAGCCTTCCCCGAGCCTCCGCCGGACCTCCCCTCAGCCTTCCCCGAGCCTCCGCCGAACCTCCCCTCAGCCTTCCCCGAGCCGCCGCCGGACCTCCCCTCAGCCTTCCCCGAGCCTCCCGCCTCCTCTGAACCTCCCCTCAGCCTTCCCCGAGCCTCCCCTCAGCCTTCCCCGAGCCTCCCCTCAGCCTTCCCCGAGCCTCCGCCGGACCTCCCCTCAGCCTTCCCCGAGCCTCCGCCGAACCTCCCCTCAGCCTTCCCCGAGCCGCCGCCGGACCTCCCCTCAGCCTTCCCCGAGCCTCCGCCGAACCTCCCCTCAGCCTTCCCCGAGCCGCCGCCGGACCTCCCCTCAGCCTTCCCCGAGCCTCCCGCCTCCTCTGAACCTCCCCTCAGCCTTCCCCGAGCCTCCCCTCAGCCTTCCCCGAGCCTCCCCTCAGCCTTCCCCGAGCCTCCGCCGGACCTCCCCTCAGCCTTCCCCGAGCCGCCGCCGGACCTCCCCTCAGCCTTCCCCGAGCCTCCCGCCGCCGCCCCTTACCCTCCCTCAGCCTCCTTTCTACCCCCCCTTAGCCTCCCCTCCGCCTTTCCCCTCCTTTCCCTTAGCCCTCGCTGCGGCTCCCTTCAGCCTTCCCGCCATTTCCCGCCTCGCTCCCCGCCCCTGGAGCCGCCGCTGCGGCGGAGCAGAGCGCTGCGGTGAGTACGGAGCTGTGCTGCGGGCTCGGGGCTCGCTGCCGGCGGGACGGGGTCAGCCGCCGCCGCCTCGTCCCCGCTCCCCTCCGAGCTCTCGTCCCGGCCGGTCCCGGTGTGGCTGGCGGCCGCGGCTGTCCCGGGACGTGGCCCCTGAGGGCCAGGCCTGTGCGGCCCGGCGGGACGGCACCGCGGGGCTCCAGAGCTGCTCTTCGTGTGTTCGCAGCAGTGGCAGTGCCGTGGTGGTCCGGCGTGCCCGCGCACAGGACTGCCTGGGGGCCCTTATTTCACAGACTCGGTAAGGTTGGAAGGGACCTTTGGAGGCCATCCAGTCCAACCCTCCTGCAGGGCCACCTGGAGCAGGTTACCCAGGAACGTCTCCACGTTGTTTTGGAATGTCTCCAGAGAGGGAGATTACACGACCTCTCCGGGCAGCCTGTTCCAGTGCCCTGCCACCCTCAGCGTAAAGTTCGAACTCATGTTAAAGTAAAAACTTCCTGTGTTACACTTTGTGGCCGTTACACCTTGTCAGTGGGCACCACTGAAAAGAGTGTGGCAGCATCCTCTTGGCACCCATATTTCTGTATTTTGAGGGCAGAGGACGCTTGAAGCGCTGCCCTGTGACACGAACCTCTCCCAACATTCTGCGTCATCTGCAGTCTTTGAGCTGTCAGACACGTGGGGAGCTTTAGAGGAATGGTTTTATTTGTTCACTGCTCCAGGAGGGCAGAGTGGGTTCTCAGGTGAAATGTATGTTTTAGAAACAAAGTGTTATGTAATATCAAACTAAAAAAAGGTCTCTTAGTATTACCACAGTATTGCAGACAAGGCCTCCTGACTGTTGATAACTTACCCTATATCCTTTGCTGTCTGTTACATGTGCTATAAGATCCAAAGCATTTGTCTGCTAGGAAACAGAAAAGCAGCAAACTCCCATTTCTTGTAAGTTGTGACTGTTTTCACAAGAGTATTTTTACACTGCTTTTGATTTTATTTTTTTATAATCGATTAAAAAAAATCTGCAGGTTTATGTTGAGGTATTTATATGTTAAAGTATTTCTTGTTCCATTTTCAGAGGAAACTTGAAAACAAAAGTTGAGAAGACAAGATTCTGCTTGCTGTTGAGGTAAAAAAACCCTTAGCTGAGATATTGAAGTGCAGTATAACATCACTGTAGTTTTGTTTTTAGAAAAAACTGAAAACCCTGATCATTTTGGAA